GCTTGCTTAACAATATTTCGGGGAACATAATATTTTACTGCGCTTCAATTTTTTTTGCCAACTTTTGCAATTGTCTTATACCTTTTGTGTAGAAATGATCAAGCGCAATTTCACTTATTTTGACTCTTTCCTCTGATCTGGTCTTGACAATTACACTAGTCCTGAAAAGAAAAGAACGGTTAATTATAATAGTGTGAAAAATGATATAAATGATAGATGTACTTACGCAAGCGAAACGTGGTTTATGAATGACAGTCGGCCATTCACGGAAATAGTTTGTTATCGACAACAAAATAAACGAATTCGATACCTTTCAGAGTTACCTCGACCTTTATTATACCCCGGTTACACGTTCAATTTTCCTAAGGCTGGTGGCACACCTATTTGCGCAGATTGAAAGCGTATAAAGGACTTTGCATTTATTTTCATAAAGATAGAGTGGGAGAATAAATAATACGTAATGATTTTCATATAATTATTCATATATCTTTCATTTTCGCGAGTCATACTTAATGCAAGGCGACATTTCCATATGAGCAACAAAAAGTCAAATTATGATGGTTGGTTAATTTTAGATGCTATTTCCGAAACCACAGGGCACTATAAAGAAGATGTGACCTACTATCTCAATCTTCCTCCATAATTTTCGTACAACCTCCATAGGAGGTAAACAGCTCACATGCCGAAGGCAACCCTGTTACACCTACCCACCAACCATTAAGCCATGATTGCACGTTCGTACCTATCAATCATAAAGGGGACTTAACACGGTTAAAAGGTTTACGATGACTAAAAATTTAGGTTTTATATTGCTCGCCATTCCAACGTTATTTTTATTCGCTTCGATCCCTAATGAAGTGGGAAACCATAATTTCAGGAGATGACTCGCTACACTACCATGCGTAAACAGGCTGAGGCAAGGAAATATCCGCTAACATGCAGTCTGTGTGGTAGCAAGCATCCGATTCGACTGTGCCCAGTGTTTCGGTCCAAATCGCCGGAGGATCGCCTTCGCGAAGTGTTAGTGCATCGGTACGGTACTAATTGCTTGTCCGGGATGCATCGTGCCGCTCATTGCACTCATCCGGGAACTTGTCGACGCTGTAAAGAGCAACACCATACAATGCTCCACATCGATCTACCAGGCGATGAACAACCGCGGGCCAGTCGCAATGACGCAGACGACAGCGATGCGATTTCGTTAGTCGCGTCCGAGACTGGAGCGGAAACAATTGCTTTACGCCCGGACTTGGAGGAAGGGGAATTGCTAAGCGCTGGAGCGGAAACCAGTGCTTTCCGCCCAGACGAAGCGCCCGGAATGGAGTCAAATGCACTCCATCCGGATTCTGCGAGCGAGCTAGAGTTGGAACCCCAACATTTCGGACAGCTCTTACGATACCAGCCAAGAGAGAGCGGATTGGAAATTAGAACTTTCCAACCGCGATACTATTCCTCGTACCCCCAACCTCGACGACGAAGTAACCACCTACGGCATAAGCGTCGCAACGGGAGAGTGGAATCACACGCATTCCACCTCCCTAAAAGAACCGGATTTCGGTCTGGGCAAGATCACGCCCCAATGAATCCGATACAACAACTCACCGCAGTTGCGCCAACAGCCATCGTGAGGGTAGAAGCAGGAGGACGCTTGCACCTGGTAAGAGCTTTGGTTGATCCGTGTGCCGCAACATCCATTATCGCAGACGACCTCGCGCGAGAGCTGAAGCTCAATTTAACGGCAGTCGGCAATCAACGAGGGTGTTTCATAAAACTACGCGGAAAACACGGAAATTCCACGACCATAACAATGCACGCGGTGGCCGTACGGAACTATCGGCAACAAACGCCTTTAAAAAGTCTCGATGCCACGGTCGTAGCACCATACAACAATATAAAGCTCGCCGATCCTCAGTTCCACATCGCTGCTCCCGTCCGCTTAGTGCTAGGTGCCGAAGTTTTCCCTAAGATGTTCTTAGGCGCCATTCCAGCGGGAATTTAGGTCCATAGATAAAGAACTGAATTGGAGAATCTATATTTAACGTATTTCTATCGTGTAACGTGGTATAGAGGTTGGATCACATGGTTCTTTGGATGTTGCTTATAGCAAGGGGGCCGGCATGTTTAGGCCTCCGCCTAAATAGATTAGAAAATGACACCCCTAATGTTTAACATTGCGGTAACATTGCCACTGTTAACTTTCCCCTCGCTTGCTATTGGTTTCCGTTATTGGAATAGTTTTACTTGACAACATCTTGGCAGGCTACCGCCATCATAATAAAAAACTGTTCACTTACTTCTTTTGCGAGCATCCAGAGAAGAGGACGTGATCCAGCCACCATACTACAGCGTATTCAAAGGTAATCTACAAAAGCAATTTTTATATATATATATATCCACAGCACATTTTTATAGGAATAAATCCACATATTTAAATTAATCAAAATACTAATACCACTTTGTGTTCTTTCTTTGTGGAAAACAAATCGGCACAACTGGTTCCAATCGTTGTGGCGATTAACAGGGTACGTACAAAATATATATACAACCATTCAAACATATTTACATACATGAAAACATTGATGTCCATAAGTACATACATGTGCCCATCAGTACATCAACGAAGCGCGTTTGCTTCATCATAAATATATCCATACAAACCTATGTACATATGTACGAATGGATGTACCCAGCAAAAAACACGATTACCACAGAAACGAAAGTGGAAACGAGCTAGGCGATGGGAATCGCTTACCCTTTCGCTTCAAGAAGGCCTTATTTTAACATGGGCATGTCATTGGAGGTAAGCCCTTACCCGCAGCATTACCTTCAAACGAAGGGAGAACGCATGGATAAACAGAATCCAGAGAAGCGAACAAAGAATGCCTTACAGAGAAACTAATGTAGAATGCCTAGATAAGTACATACTTATTTATATTAAATTGAAATCAGAAAATGTCTTAAAAGATTAAAATTAATTAAAATTGTTATAAATCAGCTTTTATACATACATATGTATTTATTTAGGTATTTAGATTTTCTTAAAAATCGGTATGTACATACATGCATATTTAACTAAGCTTAAAATTGTACTTCCTCACTCTTGTACTTCACTTCATTGACTGACTTCAACTTCGCTGCAAATTGAACAAAGCAAAACATGATTTTTATGCGAGACAAATTTCCACAGAAAGTAACGGTAAAAAAGAATTTTTGGGTATTCATTCTATTTTTCAGCTGACTACGATGCAGCATTCTACTTTGCATTCTCCGAAATGAAGCAAAGAAGCGAAATAAAAAAAATATTGTAGGACATTCTACTTTGCATTCCCCGAAATGAAGCAAAGAAGCGAGGCAAATAAAATATTGTAGGACATTCTACTTTGCATTTCCGGAAATGAAGCAAAGAAACGAATTAAAAAAGAAATATTATAGGACATTCTACTTTGCATTCCCCGAAATCAAACAAAGAAGCGAAATAATTAAAATATTGTTGGACATTCATTTGCATTACCGGCAATACCTAAAAGAAGCGGAAAAATTCGAAGGCATTATAACGCTATGCCTTCTAGAACACGTTACCACTAAAAGCGATTACCGATTTTTTGCTGGGTAGTTACGAGAAGCACGCTTGCATCATTTATATGTACATATATTGCTTGGTAGCGGCAGAGCTGAAATGCGCAGAGTTCGATCATACATACATATATATGTATACATATATATATTGTAGCGCCAGCTGTTTGCGAGATACTCCTGTGCGTGAAGTGGACCAAAC